CTCACTTTTAACAGCAGATGATTGCTATTTACTGTAGGGTAGTGAACCACAGGAAGTTCGCCTTTTTTAGCCCTCTTGCCCTGGAAAAGCACCGTCTGACGGCAACTCAATATAAACCTCCTTCCTTCCCTTCCTGACCCCAGCTCCCTGCCCCTCCAAGCTGTGACTTTTTTTTTCCTTAACAGTCTGTCTGAGCATCTACCATTCAGACAACTGAGGATCATTCCCAGCTATGGCGTGTTTTTTGTTGGCGATGCTGAGTCTTTGTGTTTTGTGCAAGAGCCAGGGAGAGCAGTGATGCAAACCCACCCGACCTGGGCTGCCAGAAGTACAAGAACTTTGATTTGCCACGAGAACCTCCCCGCCCTCGGCTCCTTGGTAGATGAAAATGAATGATGAAGCAATTTGCAACCTCAGAAAGTTTAGGATGTCATGAACCCCTTTAACCAGTTTCTGACTGTGCAAATGGTAGTTGCTTGGTGTGATGATTTATGTTATTTCAGCGCTGCGGAGCAGAATTACCAATAGGTTTTGACACTTGCCATAACTAAGTTTTATGTGAAGGGAAACATAAATCTTGCATCTGGGCATCCTGTGCGTACGGAAACATGGACAACGAGGTGCTGAGATCAGTAGCACAGGCCAAGATCCCTTTTATCCCAAAGAGAATGACTTTGGAATTAATTTGAAAACAAAGGAAGTAAAAGACGTGACTGAATAAGAGCTGCTTTGCTAAAACAGCTATTGAAAATTGTACTTTGCATTTGGCTGGGGAAACATGATCACAGACTTTATATTCACAGTGGCTTAAGATACACTGGTTCACTCTGCTTGTCCTGGTGGTTTTTGGCTATGATATTCTGCTTTGCATTTGCAGCAGTCTAGTGTTATAAGTCAGTAGCAGCAATAAGTTGTTAAGTTGTGGTTACTGTTACTAATAATCCTGTACTCTTTCAGAGGGTTGTAAATCAGCTTAGATTGTGGGGTTTTTTTAGTCTCTTCAGCTAGATTGCCATTCCATCTTTAGCACTGTAACATTTAACTGAGAGCTAAGAAATGAATTATTATTTCAAGGGGTTTTTTTGTTTTGTTTTGTTGTTTTTTTTTAAATATCATTGGAATGCTGTGTGTTTCCTAGTCTGGTCAAAGCCATTTGTTCCTAAAAATTCTTATTGAAAGATAAAGCTAAAAGACGCTGATTGAAGCTGGATAAAATTTCTTTCACAGTCAGTGAATCTGGTGAAGGATATATTTTTTAGTCTATTGAAACTGTCAAGTTGCAATCAGTTAATGTTTGGAGTCCTAAAATGGAAGATTACTTTAGGGAGTTGGAGCTTTTCATTTTGCAACAAGAAAACCGAGTTAAAAAAAAAAAAAAGCTGCAAGAAGAACAAACTCAATGTTCTTCTTTCCCCTGTGTGAGCTGCTCTAGTCAAGATGCTGGTAACCCTGATCTCCCTAACTTGGCCACAGTTTTTAATTCCAGCCACTGGACTTTAGAAAAAACTATTAGACTGAACTTCTCAGTGGATTTGTATGAATACACACAATCTCCTCGAGAGGGATGAGAGCAGGCATTTGGAAAGGCAGAGTAGGGAACTCAACAGCAGGTCTGTTGGTATCTCACCAGGCTGAACATTAACGGATCTGGGGTGGTCTTTCTCTTCCCGTCCCTTGGAAGACCTCATAAGTTTTGCTTTCATTCTGGTGTCCAAACAGAAAATATCTGAAGCCATTAAATTTTTTCAAGGTGGAAAGATAGTCCTCCCAGCCAGCTATAGTTAGAAGCTGAATTTTGGCAGAGTGGCTGTATTTGCTCTTCTGTTGGTCATCAGCTGGCATTTGCCTCAGTGTAGATGAGAGCCTGAAATGCCACGTCGCACATCAAGAGATGGAGGGCTGTTCGGAGAGTGCCTCTCTGTGCTGGTGAGAGCGCAGGATAGCCCCGAGGTAGGTCTGTTCAACTTGCGGAGGTCCTTGGAGAGTGGACACTGTTGAGCTGCAGCTCTTCAAAATGCTGCACTGCAGAGCTCAGCGTGCACTGATCCACACAATTAGAGATGCTCAGTGCAGGAGGGGGCTGTCACAGCCTGCTACTACAGCCAGGCTACTCACAGTACCTGACATTGCTAATTTAAAGACAGCTTGATGCGTCTCCATTGATTTCAATCACAGTATTGACTTCCTTTCCATGGATACAGCAACCCATAGATAGACTAATGGATTACCTGTGTTTTTGATTAGTATGCATCGCTTCTCGCCTTTTCTTGCTTTTCTTCTTTAAGAAGAATTTAAATATTCAAGGACATGTAAAATCCACATGTATTTGTGAGTTAAATAAGAAGTGCATTTCTAAACCTTGTATTTAGATTTTATACTACCTATTGCAGTAATCAAGTGGAGGTGACCACTGCTCCAGGTTTGAGCTTCTAAATATTTGTGAAAACTTGAGGTTAAGGCTGAGGAACCTCTATAGCCTAAAGAGCACTCATGGATCACATCCCCAATTTCAGTGTCCACAGGATTCAACCATCTTACTAAGGCTTTCATGTTTGATCACTGGATTTGACGTCATCAGAATCAAAAATTTTCTTCATAAAATGAAGAATTCTGAGCAAAATGGCAGCATCTACCCCAATCATTCTTTGCAATAGTGCAGGGACTGTTACAGCTTCGTTCTGTCGCATAATGAGATGGCTTGATGGGAAAACACCAGGTCTGATTTTATCAGGATTTTATGTAGGTGTATTCCTAGAGTTGATTTTATTTTATTGGATCTCATCCTCTCTATCTCTCCTGAGCTTTAGCTAGGCTTTAGCCATTGAATTTTATTAGCTTCAAAATTTCATGGCTGTGAAGCTCATTGGCAAGGAACAGAAGTTATTGCAATGGCTTTAATAGGAGTGTATTTTTTCATCCTTAGTTTTGTGGAGGTTTCATTTATAGTTTCTTTTAAAATGCCATTCTTAAAACATGAATAGATCTGATTATTCTGCTAAGAACTGTGCACACTGAAGATATGTGTCAATGATTGGCATTATACTGTATTTAACAAGCTAAGAAATATTAACAATTTGAGGATTTGAAATCAAAGCTATTGTGAATCCTCTCCAGCAGTATTTTTAGGAAAAATCTTATCTATAACTAAAAGTGAATGATCTCATTACATCTCTCAAGGATCCAAGCAAACGAGTTGGGTTTTTTTTTGTTGTTCTGGGATTTTTCAGTTTTTTGTTTTTTTTTTTTTTTAAGGAGAAAAGCAATTGGAGGGAGAGAACAAGTGGCATTTGCTCATCACTGGGTATTCTATGACTATTAAACACTTTGAGGTCAGCAGTATGGTCTCCTGAGTGTTCACATGAGCTCAGGTGGGGAATACCTGAGTGGTTCGGCATGGCAGGGTGTGAGGGAAATCCTGCAAAATAAGTGTCTTCAGATCCTACCTCCAGCTGTGAGTTCCTAATACTGAGTGGAACAGCGCAAACCCAGACCATTGTCAGCTACAGAACCTAGTGGTATCACCCAGCTGGACTTCTGTCTCCTGGGAGAGGTGACATTGGAGAGAGGATTCTGGCGAGCTGCTGGGAAGGGCAGGGGCTGGAGAGCAAGCAGCAGCCCGTTTGCAGGAGATGGCTGCTCTTGGAGGGCAGCAGCACCACCTCTTCAGCACTCCACATCACCCCAGCCAGTACTGGCAGGGAAGAATGTTGCGTTGACACCTGATAAAGCTCTATGTGGAAGAGGTTTGGTTTTGCCGTGGCTGGTGTTATGAAGTCCCAAGCAATGGGCCACTGGGACTCTTGCGTTGCGCTTTGTTCCCCCTTTTTGTGCGGGGCATGCTTCTTAGCTCAGGCACAGCACCACACAGAGCCGATCTCCACTGTGCCTTTGCTCATTTGAAGGCCAGAGCACTGAGGAATATAGAGAAGGCACTCTTGAATATTTCAAAGCTTTTTGGCTTTGGCTGAGCATACAACAGGAGGGACTTGGGATGGTTCCAGCAAAGCCACTCTCTCCAGTGGTCCCAGTAACAGTAAGGTAATGCTGTGCAGGACATGTTTGGGTCTTCAGAACCAGGTGAGGTCCGACAGGGTTTTCTAGCCCTGTCTCTGTGCTCTGCCTTAGTACTGCCCTGCATCTCTTGGCCGTGGAAGTGTTCGTGCTATGCTGTACCTGAGCAGATGGATCTTGCTGAAGCTAAGCTCCCTCTGCGTTTAGCCTTAGTATGTGTATCTGCAGCTGCATCATGGCTGATTTACAACCAGGATAAAATGACTTGAGGCAGACGAGATTCAGATGTGCTTTTCATGCTATTTCACTTCCATAACATAATGTGAGGAATGCAAGGAATGTAGAGAGATGACAGCTTAGAAAAGCTAGTTTGGCTTTCAGGCACCAAGGAGGTTGACACCTATAGCGTGAGGGAGCTATATAGTGCAGCTTTTCAAATAGTAGTTGGACACTTGGCCTTCCGTGTCATTTAACAAGTCTGAGGTTATGTGTGTTTGACAGACAACAGGGCAGTTCTCTTGCTTTCTTTCAGCAGCAGCAGAGCTGGTAAAAGTGAACACCAGCTGTCTTGCTCCTGGGATCCTGTCACCTTCTCCATTAGGCCCCAATTTCATAACATACCAGCACCAGAGGCTGAGCCACTTGAAAGAATTCCTGACTCTCTGCCCTGTGCATTAGTTCCCACCCTCACCCCACGATTCCCTGTCCCCTCAGTTTGCTGAGAGTGGCTCTTTTATGAGGATGAGTAATAAGCATTATCTGTCAACTGCCTTTAAACCAGTTCTGTTATAAACAAATAAATAAATAATTATTCTCTATTGGTGATCAAAAAAAGTGCAATTATGTCTGTGTTGCTGCTTAAGAAAACACATGTGGAACCTCATCCTTAATGAAACAAATGCTATGATTAAAGCAAATGCTGAGACAGGCAAACAGACGGTTCTTACATTTTCCGATGTATTGAAAAAAAATTTCATTTATTTTTTCAGCATTGCTTGAGAAACCCATCAGCAAGAGACGAGACAGTGAAGCTGTACAGAAGGCCAAGATCCTTTACGCATCCTGCATGAATGAGAGTAAGTGGCCTGATTTGAGAGGGATACATATGCGTTACCTGTGTTTATAAAGGCAGGCTTTTTTGCTCTCTGTTGAGCTCTGTGAAGCTTTGTGCGGATGCACAGATTTCACTGATTTGGATTCAACTGAATGCAGAGGGTCTTCTACATGTTTCTGAAGCTGGCTGTTGAGACTGAGGTACACCAAGGCACAAGAAGTCAGTTTTACAGAGACCTCTGCTTGTCAGGGAACCGTAAGGGGATATTTATCTGTGCAAAATGATGCCAAAACCATGCCCGGGCTGTGTGGTGGTAGTGTCTGGTAAATCAGAAGAGCCCTCTGATTAAATTCTCGTACACTTTCAAGAGCCGGTTGCTCAGGACCTTCTACTTTTCTCTAAATCCATTTAATCAAAACACAGGGCTAGGTATAGACAGCCCTGGACTCTTTATCTTCATGTTGTCTGCACGTCAAGCAAGTTTGGACGGGCACCACTATAGCCACATTTGCGGAGTGCTGTTCCTGAGCTTGTAAATGTTGCTGTGAGGTGATGTACACTAGGTTGGGACACATCACTACATTTATGTAGCTGCATGGGTGAAAGGTGAGTTAGGAGGGAGTGGACTTTGTCCTTCAAAGTGCCCTTTGTCCTTCTGACTCTTTCAGACTTTATTTCCTGCACAGTTTTCTTCCAGCACGCCCTGAGACTGACTGTCAGCAATTGAGACAGCGCGCCCTGCAGCCTTGGTGCTGAGACACTGACCCTTCTAGCTTTGATTGTGTACAATAACCCCCTCTCAGAAACCATGAGGTTTCTGTGCTTGTTCCTAAGGGAGGAATGTTTTTTTAATTGACTTAATTCCAGCCCTTGTCTTTTTTGAAAGGCACTGATTTGCCTCTCTTATTCTTGATGCAGATAAACTGGGTTGGACTCCCGCACGCTTCTGTGCTCACAGGCAGAGCTGAGGCTTTGGTTTTCAGCTATTGTGTTTTGTCTTGCCTAGAAATCGATCAACGCCAATAAATCTTTGTGTCTCGTGTGGCTGCTGCTAGATTTGAATTGTCTGGAATGTAATTGTTGTCACACTTTGACATTTCAGATAAAATTGAAAAAGCTGACGTGAAACCCCTGTTAAGTATACTGAGGCATTCACCCTTCCGCTGGCCTGTGCTGGAGTCCAACATTGGACCTGAAGGGCTTTGGTCAGAAAGGAGGTTTAGCTTAGTACAAGCCTTGGCAACTCTTCGTGGTCAATACAGTAACTCCGTCTTCATCCGTTTATATGTGGCTGCTGATGACAAAATCTCCCATCGGTATATCCTGAAGGTACAATATAGCATATCTAATAGGTTACTTTGCATGGTATTTTGTGGTCACATTTTTTTAAAAACATGTTTACATGCCAGATGTTTACACTTGAATATTGCTCCTATTGTCTACTGACTTACAGATGTACATAGGTGCCAATTTGTGGAAATATGGAAGCCACTAGGAACTGCATGCTATTGAAAAACATTTCTGTACAGGGTATTTTCTCCTTTCAAATGGCACAAAAAGGTAAAATACGTTCCCAGTGGACCAATGTCCAGGGCCTCTGCTGAAAATGATAGAGGGGGATATCTAGTCCTGAGGGTGCTGCTTATGACTCATCAGTTGCATGAAGAATGTTTTTTGTCTGTGAAGATGAAGAATTGTGCATCAGTATCAGACATTTTGACCTTGAGTGATTTTTCTTGAGATAGGAACCCATTATCCTGTGCTTATACAGCACCTTACAACACATATGTATCCCAAACACTTTTAAACCTGAAATACAGAGTTTACCTTTTTACTGCCATGCTATTGCTTTTGGACCAAAGCATTACCAGTTTGTTCACAGTGCATGGCATTACACAACAGTTTAGGTTAGTGAGAAAAAAAACCCAAGAAATGTTGCCTCACTGTAGTCTGACAAAACTCCAGAGAGAATTGTATTACTGTGAGATGTCACCATGGCAAGACTGAGTGCCTGGGCCAAATGCATTGCTGTTTCAGAAGTAGAGGTGAGTAAACCAGAGTAGACCAGCCCTCCACTGTTACAAGAAAATAGTTTATGAAAGCAAGAGAGAAGGGACAAAGAAGAAAGTTATGATGCCATTCATCACAGCAAAATAGGATCCATGATCCTCAAGTTGCCAGCGTCTTGGCTAGCTGTAGGAATGTAGCCAAGAATACATTGTGTTTGAGGATCAAACAACAGTTAACTGTGGTGGTACTGGAGTGGATGTGGATTCTGAGTCAGTTCTTTGAAATGTCTTTTGACTGAGGCATTCAACTGGTATAAAATTGAAGGGTAACTTTTCCCCATGTCTAGGACATTTTTCTGAATAGTCAAGTCAACAGTATATCAACATTTTGCTGTATTAAAGATGTCATTCTGCTAAGATGCTGTTCAGATCCTGTCAGGATTGCTTTGGCTGGAGATTTGTTTAAAAGAACTGAAACAGCAGAATCAGGAGAGGTATTTAGGTATCTCCCATCATAATATTTCAGTCCAAGTCACCTGTCAGTGAAGGGCTGGGCAGTTTTATATATATCCTTATTGCTGGTCTCTTGGAAAGGAATTACACCTAGCAGTATCTTCACTCAGTATGCTTTGTGGCACCTACGAATTAGGTACCTAAATAACTGAAGCACTACGTGCTATGAATAATATATTACTCTGTAGGATATTCAGTTGTTGTTCATTTGATTAAGAACTTGATCTGCAGAATGCATCAGCCAGTATTCTACTTTGTCTGTGTTTTAACAAATTCCCAGGGGTGCAGATGTACCATGGAGTATTTCAATCTGCTTGTGAAAACGGCTCTATTGCAAAATTCTTTTTGTTCAGCATTACAAAATCATGAATGGATCAGAAAAAAAGTAGAAACTCCAAATAAAACTTTGTTTGGTATTCAACATGATTTTTTTTTTTTATTGAGGGCTGAAGGTTAACTTTTTTGTGTTTCTCATATTTGTGCTTTCTTTGTTTTGATGGTTTGTCAAATCTAACTTTTAAGCCAGGAAAATTTGGTTGAGCATTTCATGCAACAGTCGTATAACTGAAATAAACCAAATAATCTGAAGTTAACTATTACCAGGACACACATACACAAAGCATAGAGGTATATTCTTTTTGCTTCGATATGCTGAAAAAAAGAAGGTGATACTGTTTTTCGAAGAATCAGAGTTGCACTGAGCATCACAGCTGCTCTCCTTTCAATGGGTGATTTGTTTTATTTGTTTATGGTGTATTTGGAAGGTTGAGAACATCAGCCAGTAGAGGAAAAGATGAAATTTATGCATTCATTTTAGATTCTAAGTTGTATTTATTTAGGCAATTTTTATAAATGTAGAAAATGTGAAATATAAATGGTGTAGAATTTGGATTAAAAAAGATGTGTGAAATTGTATGAATAAATACAATCTCTCTTTACTAGACTTATCTTTTAAAAATAAATACAGCATCAAAATAATAATTTTAGAACATCGAAACTGTTGTTTCTGCTCCAAACAGTATCTTATTCAGAGTTTGGAAGCTGGTTGAATTATGCTTTCAGCTTCGGCTTCCATACCTTAACCTAACCTTATCACATTGAAATGTTTTGGGAAATCTTAGTTTCCAGTAGTAATTTGAAGATATATGCTGTGCTGTGAGTTTTGCCTGGTTAGCAACTTGAAGCAGTATGCAAATACTCCCATGTAGTCATTTCACTCAAAAGACTCAGTGCAGATCTCAATGAACTTTGAGGACTGATTTAGAAATTACCTTGAGGACCTTATTCCAATATTAGGGTGCTGTAGACCAACAAATTTGCTCTGTGTTTAGATCAAAAAGAGAAGTGAAAGTCAAAGATCCACCTGGATCTATCAGACATCTTTAGCTAATGTACTGGAGACATAACGATTTTCTGTGCATTTACGCAATCATTTCCGTGGCTGGTATCCAGCTGTTTCAGTATATCCATTGAAAAAGCCAAATACAGCAGTCAGTGCTGGTCTAGGGTAAAGCTCAAAAGCGTAACCTCAATTTCAGTCAAAGAAGGCTAACGATACTTTCCAGATACACAGCAGCTAACGTGCCCCTGCACCTAATGGGCATTTGGTCCATACGCAAATATTTGTCTCAGACTGACCCTTGTGCCCCTGAAATATGTGTAGGATGAATGGTCATCAGCACCAACTATTTGATCCTCTAAACCGAGTCCTATTGCATTACCTACTCGCCAAAGGAGCCATAAACACATCAATTATGTAGGTGATTCTTTGCTGTAGTAGGTGGCTTAGATATTGCTGGGGGCATCTGAGGCTCCCCAGATCACAGTAATGTGATTTAGGTAATGTCTTTCAGCACAGTGTAGCATTTTTCTGTTGTTTTGAAATCCTGTCAAACTCAGGCTGGTGCAGTGTATTATGTATTAGATATTTACACATATCGACCATAATTGCCAGAAAACCATAAACTCTTCCAAGGTTGCTTATAGGGCTACCTTTGAATTCTAATAAATTTACCTATTAAATGCTGGTTCTTGTTATTTTTAACAGCTTGACCAAGCAAGCCTCTCTCTTGCATCTCGAGAGGATTACCTAGAAAATACCACAGAAGCCAAATCTGTAAGTACTATTAACTGGAAATCAGAGTGACCATTTTTCCACTTGGTTTTTTTCATTGTTGCTTTTGTTTTGTTGAGCTCCAACCTGAGAAAGGGTTGTGGTTTGTTTGGATTTGGATTTTTCAGAATATCTTCCATCAGAAAACACCACCTCTACAAGCACGACTACCACAAACACTCTTGCAAAGTTTCTCAAATAAAGATTTTTGTAAGATTTGGGGTCCTCCCTGCTTTTCTTCCCCCTTGGAAGGGGTCTCTGGATTTCATCTTGTCCAACCCCTCTGCTCAAGCAGGGTTGAACTCTGGAGTATACTACTAGTGACTGGCCTCCAAGTGGACTTTGTGCTGCTGAGCACAACCCTCTGCACCTGGTCACTCAGCTCATTTTCAATCCACCTCACTGTGCACTTCTCTAACCTGTACTTTTTCAACCTGGTGAAGAACCACAACTGCTCTCCCCTCATCCACCAAGATATTAATGTAATTGTAGAGTGTTATCAGGCTGGTTAGGTGTGATTTCTCCTTCATAAATCCATGCTTACTGCTCCTGATCATCTTGTCTTTCATGTGTTTGGAAATAGTTTCCAGGATGATTTTCTCCGTCACCTTCCTAGGGATTGATATGAGGCCAACCGGCTTGTAGTTCCCTGAATCTTCCTTCTTGCATTCCTTGAAGACAGGGGTGATACTTGGTCTCTTCCAGCCTTTAGGAACCTCTTCCAATGGCTATGACCTTCCAAATATTATCCAGAACAGTATCAGCCAGCTCCCTCAGCACTCATGGGTGCAACCTATCAGACCCCCGGTTTATTTATGCCCACTTAGCTCTCTAATCTGGTCCCCTTCCGCTAAGGATAGACCCTCCTTGCTCCAGACTTCCCCTCTGGTCTCAGGGGCCTGGGATTCCTGAACGCCAGTCTTACCAGTAAAGACTGGAGCAAAGATGGCTTTGACTGTCTTGGCCTATTCAGTGTCATTTGTCACCCTGCTCTATTTAGCAGGCGATCTGTGTTCTCCCTAGTCTTCCTTTTGCTGTTATGTATTTGTAGAGTCTTTTCTCGTTGGTCTTCACATCCCTTGCCAGATTCAACTTCAGGTTGGCCTTGGCTTTCCTAACCATATCCCTGCAAAATTTGTCAGCAACTCTGTACTCCTGGGTCACCTGTCTGTGCTTCTACATCTTACACACTTCCTTCTTATATTTGAGTTTAGTTAGGAGTTCCCTGTACACTCATGCAGGCCTCCTATTATCTTTGCTTGATTTTCTACTTGTTAGAACGGACCTTTCTTGAACTTGGAGGAGCTCGGATAGAGCTTCATGCATTCACACTGGTCTCTCGCATAAAGAACAACTCCCCATCCACACTTTTCCAGCCTGTCCTTCCTAAAAATCCTGTATCCATCCATTGCAGCACTCCAATTGTGCAAGTTACCCCACTGTGTTTCTGTGATCTCAGTGAGGTCATAGCTCTGTAACTCCACACAGACTTATATCTCCTCCTGTTTGTTCCCCACCCTTGCCCACCCCCAGCCTACTGGTGGGGGGGGGAATCTTGGAGAGACAGCCTTGATGCTGTGTGAGCACTGCTCCATAGTACCCAAACCACTGGTGTGTTATCAGCACCTTTCTAGCTACCAGTACAAAGCACAGCACTGTGAGGGCTGCTATGAACTCCACCTCAGACAGACCCAATACACATACTTGTTGTCCAATCCCATAGTAAGAGCTGTAAATATTGTCAATGTAATCCAGAAGTGTCATTTGCATTCCCTGAGATATATACTCCATGAGGCACAGCATGTATCTGTCTGTCACACATAGTATGTTTACAGTGTTATTTCTCCTTTTTTCCTTGATGACAGCAGGCATCCAGGGTAAGGAAAACGCAACTTTGGTTGCTAGGGCATGAAAGTACAAAGTATTACACTCCATGCTATAGCTGGGCATTTCTGGTCTACTGCTACAGCTGTGCGTGAGAGCAAATCCAGTGGTCATTTCACTCTTTTTCTTTCTTTACAGTACCGAGATGCCTTTTTGCAGTTCATGATTGATACAGCAGTGCTTCTGGGTGCAAACGCTTCACGAGCCGAATCGGATATGAAGTCAGTTCTAAGACTGGAAGTTAAAATAGCTGAGGTTGGTAATCTACTGTGGGATTGGAGCTAGCTTTTTTTTTTAAAAAAAAGTGAAATCCTTTTTTAAAATGGAAAGCCATTATATCAACAGCCTTATCAATAGTGGGGTTTGGAAGTAGAAGGAAAGGAACCTGATGAAGAAAGGATGAATAGTATTCTTCACCTAGTCAGTTGTTAAACTTATTATTTTATTCTCAAGGGAAAAAAACCTTTGCCAAATACTCTTGGTCACAGAATCACAGAATAGTCAGGGTTGGAAGGCACCTCTGGAGATCATCTAGTCCAACTCCCCTGCCCGAGCAGGGTCACCTACAGCAGGTTGCACAGGATGGCATCCAGGCGCATTTTGAATGTCCCCAGAGTGGGAGACTCCACAATCTCTCTGGGCACCCTGGTCCTTTAAATTGTTGATATGTCAACCAGCCTTGCTAGAGATAAGCCTGGGGGTAGCATGTTTGAGGGATGGTGTGCTAGAGAGGTCCTTTGGTCTGCCACCTCAGTGGAGGTAGGGGATGGACATCCATGTGGCAGCAAAGACACAAGTGTTATTGATGTGTTAGAAACCACAGAAGTGCCTGAGAACTGTCATGTAGGAATTAGGGCTTCTCCCCCAAAAAGGTGGTGAGACCAATAGCCCAACTGAAGTGCATCTACACCAATTTGCTGGAAGCCATTGTGCAGCTGGAAAACTATGATATAGTTGCAATCATGGAAACATGGTGGGATGACTCACACAACTGGAGTGCTGCAATGGATGGCTATAAACTCTTAAGAAGGGATAGGCAAGGAAGGAGAGGAGGCGGGGTAACCCTGTATGTTAGGGAGTGTTTTGACTGTCTATAGCTTGATGACGGTGATGGTAGGGTTGAGTGTTTAAGGGTAAGAATCAGGGAGAAAGCCAACAAGGCAGATAACATGGTGGGAGTCTACTATAGACCACCCAAACAGGATGAAGAGGCAAAAGATATATTCTATAAGCAGCTGGAAGAAGTCTCACAATTGCTAGCCCTTGTTCTCATGGGGGAATTCAACTTACCAGGTGTCTGCTGGAAATACAATACAGCAGAGAAGAAACAGTCTAGGAGGTTGCTGGAGTATATGGAAGATAACTTCCTGACACAGTTAGCGAGTGAGTCAACTAGGGAAGATGCCTGACTAGATCTGTTGTTTGCGAACGGGGAAGGACTTGTGGTGATGTGGTGTTGGAGACTGTCTTGGGTGTAGCAATCATGAAATGATAGAGTTCTCAATTTTTGGAGAAGTAGGGAGGGGGGTTAGCAGAACTGCTACCTTGGACTTCCGGAGTGCAGACTTTGGCCTGTTTAGGAGACTGGTTGATGGTGTCCCTTGGGAGCGAGTCCTGAAGGGTAAAGGAGTCCAGGAATCCTTGGGAGCGAGTCCTGAAGGGCAAAGGAGTCCAGGAAGGCTGGAGATTCTTCAAGAAAGAAATCTTAAAGATGCAGGAGCTAGCCATCCCTGTGTGCCATAAGACGAGACGGTGGGGAAGAAGACCACCCTGGCTGAAGAGAAAGGTTTGACTGGAACTCAGGAAAAAAAATGAGAGTTTATGACCTTTGGAAGAAGGGGCAGGCCACTCAGGAGGACTACAAGGAGGTCATGAGGTTATGCAGGGAGAAAATTAGAAGGGCCAAAGCCCAAGACACAATAAAAAATGTTTCTGTAAATATATTAGCAACAAAAGGAGGGCCATCCTCTATTGGATGCAGAGGGAAACATAGTGACAAAGGATCAGGAAAAGGCTGAGGTACTTAATGCCTTCTTTGCCTCAGTCTTTAATAGTAAGACCAGTTGTTCTCAGGGTACCCAGCCCTCTGAGCTGGAAGAGAGGGATGGAGAGCAGAATGAAGTCCCCATAATACAAAAGGAGATGGTTAGCAACCTGCTACACCACTTAGATGCTCACAAGTCCATGGAATCAGATGGGATCCACCCAAGTGTACTGAGGGAGATGGCAGAAGTGCTCACCAAGCCACTTTCCATTGTTTATCATCAGTCCTGGCTAACCAGGGAGGTCCCAGCTGACTGAAAGTTAGCAAATATTATTCCCATCTACAGAAAGTGCTGGAAGGAGGATCCGGGGAACTACAGGCCTCTCCGTCTGACCTCAGTGCCAGGGAAAGTTATGGAGCCGATCATCTTGAGTGCAATCATGTGCCACATACAGGACAACCAGGAGATCAGGCCCAGTCAGCATGCGTTTATGAAAGGCAGGTCCTGCTTGACTAACCAGATCTCTTTCTATGCTTCATGGATGAGGGAAAGGCTGTGGATGTTGTCTACCTAGACTTTAGTAAAGCCTTTGACACCGTTTCCCACAGCATTCTCCTAGAGAAACTGGCTGCTCATGGGTTGGACGGGTGTACGCTTCACTGGGTAAAATACTGTCTGGATGGCCGGGCCCAAAGAGTGGTGGTGAATGGAGTTAACTCCAGTTGGTGGCCGGTCCCGAGTGCTGTTGCCCAGGGCTCAGTACTGGGGCCTGTTCTCTTTAAGATCCTTATCAATGACCTGAATGAGGGGATCGAATGCACCCTCAGTAAGTTTGCAGATGGCACCAGACAGCAACAAGTTGGGTGGGAGTGTTGATCTGCTTGAGGGTAGGAAGACCCTACAGAGAGATCTGGACAGGCTGGATCAATGAGCCAAGGCCAATGGTGTGAGGTTCAACAAGGCCAAGTACTGCGTCCTGCACTTAGGTCACAACAACCCCATGCAGCACTACAGGCTTGGGGAAGAGTGGCTGGAAAGCTGCCCGGTAGAAAAGAACCATGTGTTGGTTGACAGCCAGCTGAATATGAGCCAGTAGTGTGCCCAGGTGGCCAAGAAGGCCAACGGCGTCCTGGTCTGTAGCAGAAATAGTGTGGTGAGCAGGACTAGGGAAATGATCATCCCCCTGTACTCAGCCCTGGTGAGGCTGCACCTCAAGTACTGTGTTCAGTTTTGGGCCCCTCACTACAAGGCATTGAGGTGATGGAATGTGTCTGGAGAAGGGCAGCAAAGCTGGTGAGGGGTCTAGAGCACAAGTCTTACAAAGAGTGGCTGAGGGAACTGGGGTTGTTCAGCCTGGAGGAAAGGAGGCTGAGAGGAGACATCGCTTTCTACAACTACCTGAAAAGAGGCTGTAGCGAGGTGTGGATCGGTCTCTTCTCCCAAGTAACAAGTGATAGGACAAGAGGAAATGGCCTCAAATTGTGTCAGGGGAGGTTTAGATTGAATATTAGGAAAAATTCCTAAAGAATAGGCTGCCCACAGAATCAGTTGAGTTACCATCCCTGGATGTATTTAAAACATGTGTAGATGCGGCACTTATGAACATGGTTTAGTGGTGGACTTGACAGTGTTAGGTTAATGTTTGGACCCAATGCTTTTAAAGGTATTTTCCAACCTAAACAATTCTATGATTCTACAATTTTAATGTTGGGCAGAATTTGAGTCCCTGCTGTGCAGCTACATTTTGAATACATTACCGTGCATTCAAGAAGCAGACTGGGCTGATTCTCTGAGGAAGAGTCTGAAAGCAGTGCAAGACTGAGGTGGGATGTTAGTGTTTGGTAGTGGGAGTGGGGTGGTTACAGCAGCACCACAGTTAGCTCCTGAGCTGCTTTCACGGGGGCTGGCTCCTGGGAGAGAGGACGAGAAGTTCCATGAGTTTTAATTTAGGGGACCAGCTGAATTTAGTAAAGCTAAGCAGATTTAAATCTGGTACTCGCTTCTGACCAATTTACTTGGTGACATTTCGTGCCCCCTAATTTATGCATTAGGACTGCTGCAGTCTGAAGGAGCATTTCTGCTTCCCCGTATCCCTGTTTCAGTAGACTACTGCAGGAATCCCGCTCCTGGGAGCTGCAAGTACACTATCATTTCCACTTCTATAGCTAGAGAGAAGACTTAGCCTCAGCATTGGGAAACCAGCAGAAGTTAGGTCTACAAGACTTGACAGTGGTTTGCAGAACCGCCAGCTAAGCTGAGTATTTCTTCATACCGCCAAGGAAAGAAGCTATACCCTGTGAAATGGTGGGTCTCCTGCTAACACAGAAGCCTGTTGCACAGGACAGGTGATGCAGCAGATGACTTTTCCCTGGGTTCTGCTGTTGCAGTCTACAGGAGGAAAGGCAGTGATGTTTCTTAATGGTGTGTCTGTGTGCAGAATTGAGGGCCATCCACAATAGCGCTAAATCAGTGTTTCCATCTCTCTACTGAAAGAGATGATATTTTGTCAAACCTCTAAATAAAGCCCAATATTCAGCTTCAGTTACCTAGACTGGATGGACTAATGAGCAGATACTTCATTGTGACCCAGTACACTTGAAAACCATAAAATGTTTCTTCTGTTTATCAGTGATGTGGTAAGCAGATGCATCATTACCTCTGGTAGCTCTAATGCTTTATTTAACAAACGTCTTACAGAGCTTTAATTCACAAAGTATATGGGTGAAGTTGCCATATAAGATGACATGGATCATATAACAGCCCTTAGGATCAGTAATGCGTACCATTATGCAACAAGCCATACTTGCTCATGGCTACCTAATTTCCCTGTAGTACGAATAATCCTCCTAAAATATATCCAGATATTAGGCATGAGTCCAGGGACATGGATTGTTGCATAATCCCTAATGGGCACAATGATATATATAAATATCTTACTGTGATTTCAAAGGAGATACTCCTGTTTCTTGCTTGGGCTTTTACTGTATCGTGTGTTCCTCTGCAATTGTTTTAAGTGAATGTATATAATGGAAAAATTTTGGGCTCAGGAAGAGACAGCAACGATAAAGGGAGGATATTTTGGATATAGGGAGGAGTGACATGCTTTGAGAGACCTGGTTGTGTACAAGGAAGAGTTCAATTAGGTTTGAATTCCTGGAGGAAAAGGGAAAGTTTTGAGAGGAAAGGAGCAAGCAAGTTCAGGAAGAGTTTAAAGATTTGTCAGATAAATGAAATTTGCAGAAAGGGAGAAGAAAGTATTTTTTTTTTTTTTGTTTCTGTGTGGCTTGAGCAATAGTAAAGCCGCAGACACTTACTGGAGAATTTTGGTTGGAGAACTGCCAGCTGTCTGGTTTGTCTGGCGTCAATCTCTGTCCTCTTTAAACTGTACAGCGTACACCCTGTTGTATAGGATTTACCTTAGAGTGGGGCTGGAATTGCCATTGGGGATTCTTGTGTCTCTTGAACACTGAGAAAATTTTGAGCTATGTTTCGTAGTTGGCTTGTTCTTCTATTATGAACCATACTGCCATCCTGTAATCTGAATGTCCCTTTTCAGTTATAAAAGGACTTGCTTTATATTTAGAATCTCTTTTGCTATGACCTTGGACTTTGACGCTACAGATGATCCTGAGGTCTGGCTCCTCTGGTCACCCACTCGTGGTTGGAGAATGCTTTAAATCATGTCTGACCTGTATACCTGATTTTCCTGCTATGGAAATCAGGATGCTGGGGTAAAATGAGGAGAAATGGGTATATATCTGGCTCTTTCCTCAGATGGAGTCAGGCCGTAGCAAGAACATGTTCAAATCCAAGAGATGAGGTGTGCTTCCAGCATACGTATCTCAAATTTGACCTTTTAAGCTATACAGTTTGGAGTTGGCTTCCACCTGACATGATGAGATGAATAAGTGTTAATAGTCTAGGTGTGCTTCTCTCTCTTATGAATCAACATGCATTTCCTTAGTATAATCAGAGCTAAAATTAGTCTCATATATTCAAAGAAGGCATGCAGCTCATTAAATTCCCCAGTAATGAGTTAAACTGACAATGAACTGTGTTCCATTACTCCTAGTTAAATGCCATTCTCAGAAAGGGAAGTTAATGCCATGAATGCTTGGAAAACAGGTGGTGAGATATTTCTGCACTGGGATTATGATGGACAGTAATGACGTAAAAGCAGGTCCCTGCAAGATAATCTTTGGTTTGATGGTTTTTTTTTTTTTCTGTTTTTCACCCCCCAGATCATGATTCCATATGAAAATCGAACAAGTGAGGTGATGTACAATAAAATGAACATATCGGAGCTTAGTGCCATGATTCCACAGGTTGGTTGGGGATAATTGTAAAATTACTCTTTTAACATGTGACCTATATAATTAAAATCGTCTTTAGTGCACAGAGCAGCATGTTAAAGGAATATCATGAGGAATGCATGTACTCAGTTACAATATATGTTCTTTTAAATGCAGTTACAACTTTACTGAGGTTTGAAAACACATGTAATGACAAAGTACAATAGTTTCTAAATTTTTAATAAGTAAAGCTTCGAAACCATTAGTCTCAAAGGTGCAACTTAGTTAATAAGTAATCTCTCTTCATGATCTGTTTTAACTAGCCTTCTCTTTGTCATTGCAGTTTGACTGGCTGGGATACATCAAGAAGGTGATTGACACCAAACTCTATCCTGAGCTCAAAGATATAGGTCCTTCAGAAAATGTGATTGTCCGTGTTCCCCAGTACTTCAAAGATTTATTCAGGATACTAGAAAATGAAAGGAAAAAGTAAGGATCCTATGATGGTTTCACCCACACTTGTGAGGGGTCATAAAATGCTGGGCTTTTCATGATTTCTTCAGATGCTTCAGATATTCTTGGAATCAAGTCTCCAGGCAAAAGGTCTGTTTTGTTTTGTCTGAGTGAGCATGTAGATATTAGCTTGTGTGTAGCGGGAGAATTTGCAGTTTCAACACCTTTCTTTTTTATGGAAAACACAGGTTGCAGCAAAGCTCCTCTTTGCAGATGCATTCAGCATCTCTTACTTGTATAGGGTCTTGCATCTTGTGGAATCATTTACACCTGTAGAACATAGTTGTAAAATGCAGGTAGCTCAGATTAAACATAGTAGATGTGCTTTGCACAGGGAAGCAAGACAGCTTTGGACAGCGTGCTGCATGTGACAATGATATCCCATTTCGAAACACCATTATTGATGGCATCTAGGTGATTTCTGTGATAATTTGCTCTCTGCTGAGGCATGTTGTTGAACATTGTTGACAAAATATTGTTAGGCTGTTGTCTCCAAAAATCATTCTTTGCTGATTGTACAGTATGGCCACAACTAAATTTCCGTTTCAGAAGAAAAGACTAATTCATAAGCACTATTATTATATTGTTGCTCTATGTCTCCAGTGACAGAATGCTTATATTCATAGTACCTGTAAAATAAGACACAGATCAAACAATAAGAAAAATAAAAATGATTGATCTGCCTACAGATCATCAAACATCCTTTCTTTATAAAATTCAGACAAATATCGTTAGTGTGCGACCAATCTTAAACTACTGGAGAAAGTCTTCTAAATGGTTTGGGCTGTTCATGCTTTGTAACTCAGAGTTCGTAACATCAGTGGGGATAACGCAGTGATTTGGAAAGAGGAATTATGCCAGCCTGTGTGTCATGGCAGAAGGAGGATGGAGTAATGACCAGAAAGAATGGCAATGCCAGTCTTCAGAAAAGCTCAAGACCAGGTGCCTGACTCCCACGGGTCAGGGACGAGGGGCTGGGGGAGTAGGTAAATGCAGTGTCCGATTTCCAGTGTATTCATGCTGCGTATCTTATAGCTTATAATGGTTTAGGAATTTTCTGCTCTGTCTTACCCTAAGAAATGTTAGGAATGGCAAATGGTGCTAAACTCAGCCTAAGCAGACTTCAAATTCTTGTACGTAAAATCCATCCAAACAGTCACTGCGTGATAGCAAAGATCATGTTTATCTGTTAGATGATAATGTTTGTTACTTAAAATGTCATAGTCTGCTCCAGAAGTAACCTTGTTATCTGGCCTGAGAAAATGAGGAAATCATCTTAAAGCGAACTCCTAACAGTGAGGTCTTAACATTTCCCTGTAGGGTGAACTCTGAAAGCTTAACAAGGTTATTTTCTTTTAGGTAATCTCATTTGTCATTCTCCATATGATATTTTAAAGGTTAAATTAATACAAACAACATTAATTTAGTTTGCTACGGTAAGTATCTAGACCAAGCAAATTCCTAGTAAAGCATTCCAGAATTTTAGATTTGCTTCACTGATTAGAACGTGAATTAACTTCTTGTCATTTCAGGAGATGCAATGTCATTACAAGAAGCAGGTCCTTTCACCAAGTTCATATACTTTCCAGTTACAAACCTTCTATCCCTAAATATACTTTTATTCCAATGCCTTATGTGTCCCCTTTCCAGATGAGGACCCTGCTGGTATGGGTACTATTCAAAATGGCACAAAAAGATGGTTTGTGCCGCAGTGATCTGGCAAAGTACTCCATGAAGTTTGTTTCGGGTGGAGGGAAGGATGGAGCGAAAATTAAGTCTGGCTACGGAAGCAGTTCTTAGTGATGGAGGTGACAAGTTGTATGGAGTCACAATCATCATATTGAAAACTGCTC